AAAAAAAAAAACGGCCCTTAACAAAAAAACGCGCTGGGCCCAAGGTGCACCGGGCCCACGCGGGAAAGGTCTCAGCGGGACGCGTCACGCGAGACCCGCGTTTTGCTTTTGAGTATTAGGGAAAAAATCGGTAGGTACAGGGAGAAACAGAATGAGGTACGACACTCAACTACTGTATCATCCTGTTTCAAAATTTATTACATATAGACGAGATCGGAATAGCGCTCACCCTTTTCGATACAGGGGCCGGTCACAAAGCTTTCATCAAGACCCGGATCAGAGCAAAGAGCCCAGATTAATCTAAATCGCCACGCCTAATGCATGACCTACACGGAGAAATTGACGACCCAACCAACAACCACGATCTGCACCAAGTCTAGGTTGCCCGCCGGTCGCACACCATCCATTCCACCCTCTCCACACCTCCCCCCATCATTACATCACGTCACACCGCCCTCTCTGTGCCACCCCCTCCTCCCCCCTCCAACCTCCCATCCACACCGCTAAGCAAGCCGACTCTCGCCCCACATTCTCACCAACAACCAACCAGTACCCCTCCCGCTCCTCACCCCCCGACTCTCACCTACTATTCCCACCGACAACCCTCCTCTTTCCCCCCCATCTCCCCCTCCCACCTCTCAACCACACTCCAACCAACTCACACCACCCGTTCCCACCGACAAGCAATTGCTACCAACCACTACTCCACCCTCTCCTTCCCCCCATCATCACACCAAGCCGCCCACCTCCTCCCACTCCCACCTCCCTCCTCCCACCCTACCTATCACACCCCCACCCCAGCCGACTCTCGCCTCCCAGACCCTCCGCCTGCCACACACCTCATCACCCTCACTGCACCTCCTCCCTATCATCAAGCACCACCCCCCTCCCCCAGCTCCCACCTCCCACTTCCCAACCACACCCCCACCCCAGACCAATACACCACGACACCCTCCTGATCTCCTTCCCCCCCCCCCCTCTTCCCACTTCTCATCCTTAATTCCATAGCACAGAAGACCGATGAACCAGAAAAACGGATAAGCAGAGCTCAAAAGGGCAAGGGCGACACACTTGCAGCTTCCTTCTCCTCTCCCATTCCTTCCGTGAAATTTGGAGTTCTTCCCATGGTTTGGTTGTGAGGTCATCCAGTTTTTCTGGGATCTTTGCATTCTTGGGAAGGTGAGTAACTGCGCCCTTCATTGAATTGCAGATAGACCCCTTATTGGCAGACTTTTTAAAGGCATTAAGTTTCTCTTCGTCATTCTCTTCAGACTCATGGGCTGATGTGGAACAGCCCACATCGGAATCTAACTCTTGATCGTCATGGAGAGAAAGCTCATCCGCATACGACTGAACTTCAGCCTCCAGTTGCTCATGCAAGGCAAGACGGTTGCTGCCACCGAACCGTTTGCTGCCAAAAGGCTTACTTACAGGCGGTGTAGCACTAGCAAGATCTTGTGCCTCTTGAACCAGATCCTGTAGAAGATCACCCCAGTTTGTGTGCTTTATGAGTCCTAGTCGGTGAATATACTTTTCGGGGGCCATACCATTGACCACATCCATGCAAGAGACGTTAGTCATTTCCAGGCTAGGAGTCGTGAACATTCTTGTTAGATACGTCTCCATAGCCTGCATTGTGCCCGGCCACTTTTCCTCTTTAGGACATCAAGTTTCTTTCTCACCTTGAAGGCCTCATGTGGATCTTTATATTGCTTAAGCTCGAACGGGTATCACCTTTATCCGTTCTGTCATGTCTATTCTCGCATAGCCTGCATTTACAGCCTGGAGCTCTATAAAACTCCGTACTGCAGGCTCAATATTAGTTCCCATGATCATAGATCGGGATTCCTACGCAGTCTGCAGTACCTCGAAATATGACCTCGTGGAACTGATCCAGGAGGTAATATTCTCCTTCGCGTCCAACGTGGACGGCGAAGTTGCCGCCCTTCTGTCCACCTGCGGACTGTTGTAATGTGGGCCAGCAAATGTCATGGACACAGAGGCTGCTGCACCATAGGTGGGACTACAACAATTGCAGAGTTCCCGGCGCTGCTATTTGTTGCAGCGGCTGCAGTTTCCCTGTTGGAGCATCTCAAATTGGTAGACTGCTGAAGAAGAAGAGGGAGGAGCGGTGGAGGAAAATGAAGGAATTACAGTTGCAGGAGAATTAGGGGGCAGAAGAGGAGGAGCAGGCACTTAGGCCTGCTGCAGGTCTGCAAAATCCTCTTGCAGATCATGGTAATCCCTGGCCATCTTGACCAGCGATGGCATCCGGCGATGGTCGCCGTGTCTAGAAGCACGCGCGAACACCCCCCCGCCAACGCTAGCGTACGTGAAGGTGCTACCCCGTCGGCACTGGCGCATCTTCTCAGTTGTTCCTTCAGCTTTCTGATTTCCTCAAAGAGCT